CTCCCACAGCCAAGGGGCAAGATGACAGCTACATCATTGCAATTTGCAACCTTGCAAACTCATCTAAAACCCCCCAAACTGGCACATATATAATGTATACTGCCATTGAGCCACACAAATGACATTTTCATCACGTGTACATTGTGACAACCATCACATGTACACGTGCCCCTAAATTCCAGGGATAAAAGAAGATTCAAGGCTGGCAGCTCTCTCTCCTGTGATTGGAGAGAATGAGATGCAACAGACTAATGAGGAAGACTATAGTACTTCTCTCAGGCACTTCTGCTCAGGAGAGAGATCCGGACAAGCCCAAGTTCTATTAACCTGAAAACATTTTTCTCATTAACTATACACACACACGCACGCGCGCACACACACGTATACACACACGCACACACACACACACGTATACACATGCGCACACAAACGCACGCACACACACATATACACACAAACGCATGCACGCGCACACACAAACGCACGCACACACACATATACACACATACACACAAATGCATGCACGCGCACACACAAACGCACGCACACATACACAGCACACACATACACATAAATGCACGCACATATATACACATATACACTCACACCTAAATACACACGCGCACGCACACACATGTACACCTATATACATATGAATGCACACACACACATATGCACGCACACACGCACATACATACACACGCACACATACACACACATATACACATGCACACAGACATGCATGCGCACACACACATACATATGCACACACAGACATGCGCACACAGACATACGCACATGCGCACACATACACATATGCACACACATGCACACAAACACACGCACACATACACATATGCACATGCGCACATACATAAACATACGCGCACGTATATACACATGCACACAAACATACGTGCGCACACATACACATGCACACGCACACACACACGCGCGCACACATGCACACATACACGTACACGCACACAGGCACACGTGCACACGCGCACATATGCACATACATGCACGCGCACTCACACGCACATGCACACATACATATACACATACACGCGTGCACACAATGCACACACATGCATGCACACATGCACGCACACACATGCACGCGCGCACACATACATATACACACATACACGCACATACATATGCACGCACACATACATATATACATACACGCAAACAGATACACACATGCACACAGATACACACATGCACACGTAGATACACATGCACACGCATATAGATACACACACACACAGATGCACATACATGCACACATACATATGCACGCACACAGCTACACATGCACACGCACACGCACACATGCACACGCACATACATGCACACATGCACACGCACACACAGATAGACATACATGCACACAGACATGCACACGCACACACATACAGATAGACATACATGCACACGCACACAGATAGACATACATGCACACAGAGACACACATGCACACGCACACATACACAGATATACATGCACACAGACATGCACACGCACACACAGACATACATGCACACACACAGATACACATACATGCACACATGCACACGCACACAGATACACGCACACATGCGCGCACACGCACACATACACACACATGCACACGCACTCACACATACACACATACATATACACATACATATACACATACACGCACATACACACATGCACACATGCACATATACACATACATGCGCACGCACATACATATACACACGCACACACAATGCGCACACATACACATACATGCACGCACACATGCACATACATGCACGCACACATGCATGTGCACGCACGCACACACATACATATACACACATACACAAACACACAGATACACATACATGCACATGTAGATACACATGCACACATGCACACGCATATACAGATACACGCACACACGCATAGATGCACATACATGCACACACATACATACGCATGCACACAGCTACACATACACACACACATACGCACACGCACACACATGCACATGCACACAGATGCACATACATGCACACATATATGCACACGCACACATACAGATACATACATGCACACACATGCACCCATACAAATAGACATACATGCACACACATGCACCCGCACACACATACAGATAGACATACATGCACACAGACGCACACGCACACACAGATAGACATACATGCACACGCACACCCACACACATGCACATATACACACGTGCGTGCATGCACACCCATGCACACCCACACACACATATATATACACATATGCATGTACACACATGCATACTCACATGCACACAAACACACGTACACATACACATATATGCATACTCACATGCACACAAACACACGCATATATGCATACACTCATGCACACATGCACACGCACATGCACACACTCGCACGCACACGCATATATGCATACATTTAAACACGCGCACACACGCACTCACGCACACACGCACACTCACGCACACGCACATATGCACACTCACGCGCACGCATGCACACATACGCATACTCACATGCACACACAGAGCATACGCTCATGCACACATACACACGCACTCACGCACACACACATGCACACACGCATACTCACGCACACACCCGCACACACCCGCACACATACACATGCATATGCATACTCACGCACACACGCACACATGCATATACGCATACACTAACGCACACAGATACACATACATATACGTACACACACACACACATACATACACGTACATGCACACGTACACATATACGCGCGTGCACAAATACATACATATGCACATGCACACACACGCGCACACATACATATGCACATGCACACACACGCGCACACATACATATGCACATGCACACATGCGCACACACACGCGCACACATATACATATGCACATGCACACACACGCGCGCACCCATATACACACATACACACACATGCACGCGCACACCCATATACACACATACACACACATGCACACACGCACCCATATACACACACATATACATATGCACACACGCGCACACACACACCCATATACACATGCACATGCATGTGCGCACACCCATATACACACCTACACATATATACACACGCGCACACATATACATATGCACATGCACACATGCATGTGCGCACACATACATATGCACACACACACGCATGCGTGCACACGCACCCATATGCACACGCACACATGCACGCGTGCACACACGCACCCATATACACACGCACACACACGCAACCATAGACACACACACACGTACATATGCACACACGCACACACGCACATATGCACATGCATGCACACACGCACCCATATACACATGCACATGCACACGCGCACACACACGTATGCACGCACACACACATATACATATGCACACACACACACGCACCCATATACACACACACATATATGCGCACACACACACATATGCACATGCACGCACACACACACACACGCACCCATATACACACACGCGCGCGCGCACACACAAAATTAATCCTGAGGGAAGCTGTGACTGAAGAGAACATGCAGGTTACTGTTACAATTTAAGAAACAGACACACCACCTGATCACTCTGATCAAATCCATGGCACCAACTGATCGCTTACTAGTCTTGCCATTTTGAAATAAGACTGATCAAGCCATTTGAAGTACAATAGCAGTACACAATATAGTTGTCATCGGGAACTCACTGAGTGAGACTGAAGCTTCTCTTAGGGAAGCCCATTATCCCATTCGCCTTTGGGAAATGGCAAGCTGCAGCAATGCAGCTTTTCATGAAATATCCACAAAAATTACACAGGCTCTCCTGACAACTGCATTTGCAATGCAGATTACTGCTGTACAGGGGGTTTCTACTTTTGGGAGCAAGAAACTGCCATGTTTCCAGTCCGCCTTGCTGGAAGCTTGTCCCAACCCTGTCCACAGAAGCAGCATTAAGCCTTTGCCAGTCTCTCCTTTATTTTTAATTCCCTCTGCCCTTTTGTTTCTCTTTTTTTTTCATAAACTGCTGGAATCCACATTCCACTGTGACAATTGCTCCTGCCCACACATTCCAAGTTGCCCTCCTGATGGACGTAGCTATCCAGCAAGCAGTTTGTCCCCAGCCTGCTCTCGCATACAATGAAGCACGCAAACGACGCCTGTTCCCACAGGGAACTTGGCTCCTTCTCCAATGAAAGCAGGCAGGGTAGTCAAGATGTGCCTAGCAACCTGGAACAAAGGCACAGCCCAAAGACAGAAGCCCTACAAGTGAGAGTGTGATAAGGAAATGCAGTTTTATTCACCCTGAGACTGTTTTATGTTATGTACAGTACGAAAACAAGCACATTATGGCCGAGCTTTATTGACACATTAAGGTTCTAATCTCTATAATCGCCAAACACGTCCAACACATGTTAGTCATTTGGCAATTTGTGTTGCATTTTAGCAAGACTCAATGATATTCCTTGCCACTAAAAAATCCTGTCTTTGAAAGCATTTCAAAGCTGAACATTAAGTCTTTCTTTCCTACAGGCCAGAAGGGAGCACTAAATTGATCCCAGCTCCCCCTACCATGCAGTTCAATTCCTGCCCAAAGCCACAGAAGAGGTCTGTGACAATCAAGTCACTCAGCCTCTGGTTCCCATCTCGCCCCCTCCCTCCTGCACCTGTGTTATCTTGTTGATGGCAAGCTCTTTGAAACAGGAGTCAGTCCAACATCTAGAACAACAGGACACTATCTATGTGCAGGCCTGTTGGCAGTTCTCTACGAGTTAGTGTTAAGAATCATATAAGAATAGGAATAATACAAATAATAGGATGAATGGGGACAGCATCTTTGGGGAAAAAGTGGAAGTTATCAAGCACAGCCTGTCTGCCTGGGACCCACACATTTTAGATTAGCTATGTTCTAGCATGAACCAAAAAAAATTTTTGAAAAATTAACATAGGTAGCGCTAAAATTCAAGTGCTGTTGACTCACCAATAATAAATTCTGATCAGTGCTGAAGGCCACAGGAGAAAGGATGCTACAAATGCTAGAATCGGGATAGCCAGGGTGCCTCCAGCTATTACAAACATGTTCAGCACATCGAGGTCCATGTTGCTCTAGGTCTTGACTTCACCTGCATAAATGAATAAGGACCCAAAGGTTAGTAACAAACAACAACTAACATCAATAAATGACTAAGTCAAGACTGCAGGGAGAGGAGGAAATCATTAAAGGTACCACAGTATACAGCAGATATCAGGCAGGCAGGCAGGCAGCTAAATGGCTTTCAGCTTGAAAACAGCTATTGCTTTCATACCCACAACAGATCTGACTTCTGAAAACTTATTTTTTCTCAAGATCATGCCAGGAACTGGAACAACTGCTCTCACAATGAGTTCAGATGAAAATTAAAGACACTGGATTATAATTTAGTTCTCACAGCACTTTTCATATATGCAAAACAGGGATTTTCTCCACTTGCTCCATCATACCACCCACCGCCTGAGGGCTGAACAAGAACACAAATAAAATGAGCCTATTAAGAATTTATTTCACCCAACAGTCTCCTCCCTTCCCCCCGCCCCTAAAATCTGTTGTACAATAACTGACCTAGAATTTGACAGCCTGTGTCCTGCTCCAGGCTCATGACTGCTTTATACAGACATCTGCTAATCAAGGAGCAGAACCTATTACTGGTCTCAGGAAAAATGGGAAAGGAGCCCTGGCATCTTTTATTGCATCATATTTTTACTCATGCAATCCAAATTAGTCCCCCTCAGAAAAAAATACCAAGGCACCCCGCTGTCCTTCCACAGTGCTGAGAACAGACCACTTGTGCTTGCTATGTTAAAAAAGTCACTGCTTCTACCATGAAGTACTCCAAATTCAGGATCTCATTATGCTACTACATTTTCAGGGACTGCTAACACACCGCACTTTTTGAAGTGCAACCATCTACCTACTGTGATGAGATCTGTTTGCTTATTTCTCACCTTGCCTATCCCCCAGGCAGCAGTCAAGCACTTCATTATTAAAGGATTAATCCTGCCCCACAAACTTCATGAGCATGTTATCTAGTTCCCGATGCTGAACATCTGATGTCAGTGGCGATGTGTAGGGGGTGCATGTGCACCCCCTGAGAGCTCCAGTGCACCCCCTGATCAGCCATACTCGCCACTTAGGTGATGGGTGGGGGGGGCAGACAGGTGTGTCAGTGCCCCACCTGCAAGCATGGGCCAATCACTCCAGCTGCAGCGATCAGCTGCAGGGGAACTCCCTCCAGGCAGCACGACCTGCCACTGGGGGGACCCTCCCCCCCTCACCAGGCAGCAAGATCAGCTGCAGGGGACGCCCCCTCCCAGGCAGTGAGACTGGGGGGTGGGGGGCACGGCACATGCGGCACCACTCGCCCATGTCTGATGTGCCATGCATTTTCTCAACAACTGTCCCTTCACAAAAGTACATTTCAAATCCAAGGATTATCAAGTTCCTGGTCCCCTCCCTCACAATCTGTCCATGCTATATCTAAACTTAATCAGATTTGTGGATAAACCTTTCTGAGTTTGGCGTGACTGTTTTGAGTCATTCTGATAGCTGTTCAGTATATAGGTTGCCAAAGAGAAACCAGACAATTTTAATTATAAACTGTGCCAACATAGAGCTATGATACACAGGTCCTATTAAAATAAACAAACAGATTAAAACAATATATTGTGACCCACATTGGCCAGAGGAATGAGCCTGGAAGCTGTTGTGCTATTTGGCATCCACCAGCCCTTGCACCACCAGTCTGCGTACATTCTCCAGCAAATAAGTACTATCACCAATTTGAGCAGGTCCCTAGCAATACACCTTCCTCTTGTCCCAAACACAGCTTGAAGCTACCATTTGACCCCTACGAACATCTCACTGCACATCTTTGCATTAAACTGTGGTGATACATGAGCGCATAACAGATGGAAAACATTTACCATAACTTCTTGCAAAAATGAATTAGTTTATGGGAAGGGGGAAGAGGAGTTGCATACCACAATCCAAATGTAACAGTAAGCATCTTTTAGCTTACCTTAGAAAGATGCCCTCCTCCAGGATGAGAATGCCACTGCCAAAAAGTACTGATGATGTTCTGGAAAAACTAGTAAAAAAGAAAAGGCAAAATTATTTTCCCATCATTTTCTTCTGCCAGACCTAGAAGCAGAAACACTACTCAGTTCAAATATTCAAGCCATCCAGCATGACAACACATCCAGAACAAACATTAAAAGGAAAGCAAAAAGATTAAAAACTGTTGAGGTGGCAGAAACAATCCAGGGTCTACTTGTGGTACCCAGGCACTAGGTAACTTAGCAGTAATTGCTGGACTTAACTGGGGGAAAAATGAAAGCTGGAAACTGAAAATGAGGATGATGATAGTTATGAGGATGATAGTAGATGATAAATAAGGTTCTTTGGGTGAATCTGATCTCTTTTATTAGGCCAACTTAAACAGTTAGAAAAACAGTTTTTAAAAGCAAGCTTTTGGGTTTAAAAACCCTTTGTCAGGCTAAGGAAGTTTCAGCAGTCGGTGTGTGCTCTTCCTGGATGGAATGAAAAGTAAAGAAGCCAGAGGCCGGGCTGGTATGCATACAAGACAAGCAGTCAGTGAAGATGTAAATTGAGGAGTTAATGGGTGAGAGACAGGCTGGGTTGGGGCAGAGAAGGGGAATGAACAGTGGAGAGGTACCTGTGGAGTCAGATGTCAGGCAGGTTATAATGTATCATAAATTCAATGTCTATATTTAATCCATAATTTTTAGTATCTAGGGGGTTGATGAAGTGAAGTTCACAGGCTTGTCTCTGAGAAGTGTTTTATAAGTTTCTTTTGAGGATTCAAGTTGAGAGATTGGAGAGAGAGTGGTTTTGTTGTGAGAACGTGCCCCCACAGGTAATTGGGTATTCTTGTCTTTGATGGATTTCCAGCGTGTGTTAATTCTGGTGCGCAGTTGTTGTTTGGTCTCTCCTACGTATTTTCCACCAGGACATTTGGTGCATTGCATGAGATATATTACATTTCTGGAGGTGCATAGAGATGAGCCTATGAACTTCACTTCATCAACCTCCTGGATACAAAAAATGATGGATTAAATATAGACATTGGATTTATGACACATTATAACTTGCCTAACATCTGACTCCCCAGGTCTCTCTCCACTATTCATCCCCCTTCTCGCCCCCACACCCAGCCTGCCTCTCACCCACTGACTCCTCAGTTTACATCTTCACTGACTGCCTATCTTGTGTGCAGACCAGCCCAGCCCAGCCTCCGGCTTCTTTACTTTTCACGCCATCCAGGAAGAGCACACACCAACTTCTGAACCTTTCTTAGCCTGAGGAAGGGTTTTTAAACCCAAAAGCTTGCTTTAAAAAAAAATGTTTTTCCAACTCTTTAAGTTGGTCTAATAAAAGATATCAGATTCACCCAAAGAACGTTTTCTGCCTATGCCCTTAGACCAACACTGTTACAACATACACCCCTGCAACATGTTAAGAAAATTAATGTATTTAAGGTACCTGAACCAAAATTCAGGCTGCTCCTATTTATCCAAAAAAAAAATCATCTTTCCACAATGATTTTATGTGGCTTCAAAACACTTGGATAACTGGGTCTATAATATACCAGACACGGACATTTCTTTGTACGTCCAAATCAAGGGCTCTTTCTGCAAAATACTTAGGAGTTCTAGGTGGAGCAGATTTCAGGCTACAGTATGTGATAGAGATATTATACAACAAACTGCAATGGACTAACATCAATATAACATTCATATAATATAACATTCTCATGTGTCTGAGAACATGGCTAACAGGTCCAGGTATTCCGAGATTCCCTTAAGAGGGATAGGCCGGCATGGGCAGGAAGTGTTTGATTCCCTGTGTTTGATCTGAAGCCTGTTCCTTGGGTACCCATGACAGCTGTTGCAACTCACATGACTACAGATACCCAATGAACATTACCCTTACTCAGGAAACCATACTCCTAGCAAGCCAAGTGCATCTGGCAAATCTGGACAGAGATCGTGGATGCCCTTTTCTCAGCACCAATATCACACAAGCAGCATTCGGTACCTCCACGTATGTGTGCACGTGTGTTTTGTGTCGTTTCCTCTATTTCAGATCTGAAGCAGAATTTTTTAGGTTACTGAAGTGTTTCACCCGATTCTACTTTTGCTCCCTCCAAAGTAACTCGACTGGCACAAATAGCATTACCTCTGAGTTATACCACCCTGGACAGCAGTATCGTGCCCATGACCCTGGTCAAAATAAGAACACCTAGGGAGCCAGATTGATCAGCCCAGCTAGCACTGCTTAGCACAAGACTCAGGTGGAAACTAGACTTTGGGACAATCATCCTAAAGGGTTGTTCTGCCTCCAACCAAGTTAAAACAGCTGCCAGGGACTGTGGGATGGATACAAATAGTCAGACAACAACACAGCACCTATTTACTCCTCCCACACCACCTGCTTTGTGGGATGATAACAAAGGAGCCGCACAAGCCAGACGATCTAGAGGAAATTAATTTTACATATCCACTCCTGCAGCAGAGGTAACAGCAATACTGATGATCCCCCAGCAGCTATTCACCCAGGCTTCTAACCTCCAGAAACAGCCTGTGGCACTAAAGAAGAACAGCAGAAAATATAATGGAGAAAAACCTTACAGCAAGACTATGTTTCCATGCTCCCAATACAGTGCCATCAAGGTCTAGGCGGAGTGCAAGAACAGCAAAATGCAGCACTAGGGAAAGAATAAGACTAATGTTCTTTTGCAACATCCCCTTCAGCTTTAGCTAGATTTTTTGTTTCTTTTTTTTTTTTCTTTTAAAGACCAAGGCAACACTTGTTGTCTAATGAGGCCTACATTTTTCCTGTTCTAAGCCAACATGATCAAAAGAGGATGTGCATTTAACTACCTTTTAGAGCCAACAGGAAGCATTTTGGTTCTGTCAAAATTCAGCTATAACAAAACAAAAAAAATCCATGACATTTACTTGTTAACAGCTAGAAGGCAGCGGATTACAATTCATTACCAAAAGATAAATTATCTCAACTGCAACCAAGTGTTTTCTGTAGGGTGATACTTGGAAAAATAATGACCTTGCTTTCTTGCAAGGCTCTCAAAGCACTTTGTAAACATTTCTTAGCTAAGCCTCTGAATACAACCCCAACATGGAGTTATACCCATCTCTCCAAATGAAGACAGACTAAAGAGGCTCCTACCCTGGGGGTCTTTAAGAGGAGGCCTTGCTGGGGTCGTTTGACCCCAGTACTTTTTCCTGCCGTGGCAGGGGGTTGGACTTGATGATCTGCTCAAGTCCCTTCTGACCCTACCAACTATGAAACTATGTCCTATTCAGTTTAGAAAAGAGACGCGCCGGGGGAGGGGGGAAATGATACAGACTTATTTAGTTTATTATTTACTCTTTTTCACAATACGAGAAGTGGGGGTTGCAAAATGAAACTAGTAGGACGTAAGTTTAAAACTAATACAAGGAAGCTCTTTTTCACATAGCATGCAATTAAAGCATGGAACTCACTGTCACCAGATGTTGTGGGAGCTGACACAGTTTAGCCAGTTTCGAAAAGGGACTGGACAAATTATTGGAGGAAAGCGGCATCAGTAGCTATTGACTATGGGAATTAGGGGTACTGCCTCTGAATTAGAGCTTTCCAAACCTTAAATGTTGGAGGCTGAAAGTGAGAAAGTAACAGTGGGAAAAACCCTGGTCATTCCATGTTCCCTCTCTTTTCAGCCTCCACTCTGCCATTATGTGAAACAGGCCCATTTGATGTGCCATGAGGTCATAAACTTCGGCCCACGATGAAAACTATAAGTCTCTTTTGATAAGGGATATGAGACGCATCAACTGATTACTTGGGGCAACTAAAAAGAAAAAAAAACAGAAAAGAAAATAGGAATGAGAGTGAGGTCATAGGTTAATAACAAGGAATCTGAAAGAGGACACCAAACAGAGCACCCCAACTAGCACCCACTACCCCCTGAAAGAGCCAAGGGATGCTGACTAGTGAAACTCTGCCCAGAGATGTGAGCAGAGGAGTAACAGAAAGATGGCCCCACATTTGTGTGTGTTCCCCCAGCCCAGTGGCGACACGTAGGGGGTGCACAGGGATTCATCCCCTGACCGGCCATGCTCACTGATTAGGTGATTGGGGGGGGGGGGCAGGCGGGAGTGCCAGTGCCCTCCCTGCAAGCACCAGATGATCACTGCAACCATTCCCAAAAGCGGCTGCAGGGATCAGCACCCCTCCCCCCCCCCACCAGCGGGATCAGCTGTAAAGGGACTCCCCGCACCCCCAGTCAGCGGGACTGGTTGGCGGGGGGGCATGTGCCCCCCCTGACTAAGGTGACACCACTTGCCCATGCCCCAGCCAGAGCCTCCTTCTTGGTCTTGTAAATGGCCAGCTTGGGCAGAGCCAGGAGGAGGCTGACCAGGACATCCCAGGGCTTTGTAGAGCCATGGATGGAGAGTGCATAACAAAAAATGTGCAGGGAGAAGTGCAGCCAGAACCTCAGCAGGAGGTTCTGGAGGAGGCAGAAGAGGGGCTGCAACCTGGCACATTCGAGGTAGGCATATACCCAGGTCTCCCTCTGCTGGCAAAAGGGGCAGGTGTCAGGGGTTTCCATAAAGCATGCCAAAATAAATGCCTGTGGTGATGGCTCATTGGAGAAGCTGCCAGCTGAGGTCCTCAGTGACTCGTGGGATCAATGTGGAATACAGACTTTTTCACTGAGGACCCTTGACTCCCCCCCTCACCTAAGGTGTCCCGCCACTTGTTGCTGGGGTGGACACAAGGATGGACTGATGGATTTTGCAGAGCACAAGCACATAGAGTGGGCTGTTCAGAGGTGGACTGGTATCCCCCAGTCTGCTGAGATGGTGGGGCAGGGAGTGCCATAGGGCTTGCCAAGGCAGCAGCCCCACAACTAGTTCTGGGAAACTGGGGGATAGGGGGGTGGGGTCTTCCCTCACACAGGACCTGGTCCACATAGGCAAAAGCAGTGGGCGGCAGGGCAGCCTTTACCTTCTGGAGTATGCAGCAGGAAGCACACAGTGTGAGTAGCTCCATGCACCAGGC